AAAAAAAAAAAAAAAAAAAAGTTGGTAAGGACAGTTGTCATGTAGATATCCAGAACTGGAGCTCCCCAACCCTGTGCTTATGGAGGTAGGGTCTCTACTGATCTGGCCTGGTCCTACAGGTCTCCCCAAAGTCAATTAAATCTCAGTGGTTTACCCTCACTGTACAGTCCTCAGCCTTTCAAGTTATAGTATAAGGGGAAATGAAGGAAAGACTGGGAAGACTTTTGAGGGGTAGGAAATGATACCATTTGTCATTTCTCAGAGGAGTTGCTCTCAACATTCAGCCAGTCTGCCCATGCTGGATTCCACTTCCAAAGGGCTTTGCCAAGAGGGGATATAGGTTAGAAAATGGAGCCACATCTTTAGGAAGTGGAGACTGGAGACCAAGACCTGTACATAGACCCCACAGAATTTTTCTCTACTCCCAATACGGAGTAGCGCAGAGGAAAGTCCGGGGAGGGACGTTTCAGGGGAGCAGTGGGAATGCCTTGCACATGCCCTCGTTGCGGGCCTCTCGGCATGGGGATGCTCAACTCCGCAGCTGCGAGGAGAGCAAGCACGGCTGCAGCAGGTGTGGGTCGCCCTCCGGGACTGGGGGAGTCTTGGCCCCACAGCTGGGGATGGAGAAGATCCCGGCAGGTGTGGTGCACTGCCGCGTGCGCAGCTGCGCGGACCAGACTTCCAGCTGGGGGTCAGAAGAGAGCTGGAGTGTCCCGACCTGGGCCTAGGAGGGCGTCCTCCCCTCCAGAGTGGGTCCCTGGGAGGGGTCGACAAGTAGCGCGGGCGGGTCACCAGAGCTGGCGGGAGCAAACCACTTACCACCGGAGCCAATAAAAGCGTAGTAAGAGGGTGGGGGGAAGGGCAAATGCCCAGAATAGCTTCCGAGTCAGCCGGAAGTGACCCTCGGCAGCAGGGTTGCCATGGCAGCGGTTGGGCGCGCTGCGGGGCGGAGGGAAGATGGCGGTGACCGGCTGGTTGGAGAGTCTGCGGGCTGCTGAGAAGACTGCACTGCTGCAGGACGGTAACTCGACGCTCCTCGTGAGCTCACTCGTCCTTTCCCCCAGGTTCCGGCTTTCAGCGCTGACCCCTCCGGGAAGGGCTTCAGAGTCTGGACGGCAGAGCTGGAAGGGCCGCGGCCGTCAGACAGGCCAGGTCCTTCATTCACAGATGAGGAAACCGAGGCCCAGAGAGATGATGTGACTGCAACACAGTCTCTGGACACCCCCTAGTTTCCTCTATGCCATCTGATTTGGGGTTGCTAATGAATAATTCCTTTCACATTCATTATCACATTTGCATCCCACCGCAGTCCCGAGAGGCTGATCATTTCCCACTATCCTTCATAGACAAGAAAACTGTAAGCCAAGAGTGTTTAAACTTTAGTGAGGCGGGACACTTGGGCTTTAGTTCCCACTCCGCCATTAATTCACAGTAAGTTTTCCAGTCGGGCTCTTGTTTGGACTTCACTTTCTTCATCTGTAAGATAAAGTGGATGGGTTACCATTATTATCTTTGAGGTCCTGCCCAGCTGTAATGTTATGTTTGTAAAGTGAACTTTTAAATATTCCATTTGTCCTTAGGGGAGATGGACCAAGCTTGAGCCAAGAGCTGTGCTTGGAAGAGGTGGGCACAGGAAGATGTGGACGAGGAAGGGGTTTTCTCTCTCTAGTCTTATTCTTTTTTTTTTTTTTTTTTT